ACTATTATAGTCATTTTGGCTGGGTATAGTAATTGGGGTTGGCATCTGTGGCCATTTAAAACTGGGAATACTTTGGTCCAGGCTCTTCTGGCTTTCATAGTTTGCACTGAAAAGTCAGCTGTAATCCTAATGGGTTTTCCTTTATATGTGACTTGTTGTTTCTCTTTTGCAGCTCTCAGTATTGTCTCTTTGTTTTGTACGTGTAGTGTTTTTACTATGATGTGCTGTGGAGAGTTTCTTTTCTGGTCCTGTCTGTCTGGTGTTCCATAGGCTTCTTGTATTTGTATGGGCATGTCTTTCTTTAATTTTGAAACTTAAAAAAAATACATCTTTCCTCCTTCTGCAGGAAGCAGAAGCCTCCCCCTTTAAAAGACCCCAGCTCACGACCTGGGGCAGACATTTTCCCTGCCCAGAAGGGAATCTGTCCCATGTGTTCTTTTGCTAATAAACTCTATTCTGATGGAGTTTTATCTGTGTCCTGGTGCTTTCTCTTGATCAACTCTATCTTTTCGTTCTCCAGCTACTTTTTACCAACACTATATAGCATATGTATACATGCTATACAGCATATGTAGGCTATATAGCATAGCATAAGAATAGCATTGTCTATGTAACTCTAAAGTAACCAAAGCAAACTGTACTATTTACCTCAGATATTCAAAGATCTTCTAGTCCTACCTTGCAGTTGCAATACTTGGAGATGGAACAGTATGCATAGCAAAATAATTCAACCTCCCTGCCACAGGGATATAGACACATATTATGACTGCCACTCCTTGAGACATTCCCCTGGGAAAGTTTATGCTGGCAGCATTTCACCAATAGATCAGGGGTAGGTCTTCATGTATTTGCTGTTGCTGTCTGATTCCTACAAGATGGGTCAGGTCAGACACAAATGTCTTTTCTGCTTCCGTCTTTTTTTATTTTTATTTTTAATGTCAATTTGGATTGTGCCTAATTTTAAGTTTGCAAACTATGTTCTGTTACTTACAAACTATGTTCTCTTAATTCAGAGAGACTTTTCAGAATTGCAAATACACACAGGTTTGTGATTAATTAGAATATTTTTTCCCAAAATGCTAGTGGTATTTTGCCCAGTCATTCATTTGTTCATTCAATAATGACTTTTCTTTCAGCTTGCCCATACCTAAAATCGTTATATTTACAAGTTAGGGACTGGAGAGATGGCTCAGTGGTTAAGAACACTGTTCTTGCAGAAGACCTGGGTTCAAAACCCAGCACCCACATGGCAGCTAACAATTGTCCATAACTCCAGTTCCAGGGGCTCCAACAGCCTCTTCTGTCCTCCCCAGGCATTGCACCACATGGGTGCACTCACATATATGCAGGCAATACACACATACACATAAAATAAAAATAATAAAATATTTTTTTAAAAAAGAGTGAATGTAAAATACTTTCAGAAATTACAAATTAAAAGATAAAGTTTAGTTTTAAAATTATCATCAGCAGGTGTGGTGACACATGCCTTTAATCCCAGCACTCAGGAGGCAGAGGCAGGTGGATTTCTGTAAATTCAAGCCCAGATTGGTCTATATAGTGAATTCCAGGCCAGTTGAAGATACAGGGAGATCCCATCTCAAAAAGACCAAATAAATAAATAAATAAATAAGTAAATAAATAAAATTACTAAGATAATTTTATACAATATAAATCAGGGCCATAGTGCACTATTCTGGCTTCAGATGTTCTGTGCTTTGCTCTACCACTTTAGACGAATTCAGAGATTCCCAAATAGGAGCAGGAGTCTATGCCTGATTTCATATGGAAATCTTGGACTTGAGCTCTACTTTAACCTGTTATTTCTGGTATTTGCTAAAACAGAAAGTCATGCTGTCCACAGCTATCCTTACACCTAGTGTGTACAGTAAAGCTGGCTGTGGTTGGGCTGATACAATTTTGATTGATCAGCATTGCTCAAAATGTTGGCTTGAGTTTCCTGATTTCCAGCAATTCCAATTCCAGGAATTTAGATATAGTTTACACCTACAAGGATATTCACGTTGCTGCATTTTCTGTACCAGAAGAAACGACAACCAAAACGAAAAACTTCCGAAACAGACAGAGGTATATTGATATTGGGCACCTTAAAGAAATGACAGTAGTTTATGTTGAAACAATCAGTAGAATTCTCTGAGGCCTTTACAACGAGAATGGATACGAATAAATATATGTGAGAGAAATATGTTGTATATAGTACGTTTCTTTTGTATGGAAAAAGGCTATGTCACATGCCCTTCAGCTGCACATATACTAAAACTGGAAGGATATGGAGATTAGCATGGCCACTGCCCAAATTCACACACAAATTCATGGCGCATTCCATATTTTACGTTTTTTATTTTGTTTGTTTTGAGACAAGGTCTTCCTGTAGCCCAGCTGGCCTGGAACTCGCTATGTATACGAGTGGCCTAGATCTCACAGAAATCCACCTCGTGCCTCTGCCTCCCGACAGCTGGGTAGAGGGACTGAACTATTTGTTTCCTGTTCTGGAAGTTCACGCTGATCTTGTATATCTGCACTACCTGCCTTCAGCTGACGAGGGCGCCATGGGGGGGGGGCGGTCAAAGGCCTTTAAACGCCTCTCGCACTCCGTAGTGGCGTGCTCGCGTCATCACGGCGGCCGCGGCGCAGGCGCACTGTCGAGGCCTTGGCTCTTGCCTTGGCTCTGTTGTCGTTCTGGATCCTGCGGTGTCTTCTTGTGGCCCTGAGGTCGCCCCTCTGGCCGCGCTGGCCCGGTTGGCGTTGGGTGAGCGGCATCCCGGGGCCCACATGAACCAGTGGCATCACGCCCGCGGAGGCCGCAGTCGGGGCCGGGACTTCTCTGGCCGTGCCCCACCCAAGAAGAAGGGCAGAAACCACGTCCCGGAAAGGTAGCGCGCATTGGTTCCGGGCTCGGTGGTTCCGGCAGCCTCGGCCTGGGGTCCCTGTGCCTCGTCGCCTCACCCGCGCCTTTCCACCTCCCGGAGGCTTCCGCGCCGCCGCACGGTGTTCTGGGACGTGTCCGGGTCTTTCCGAAGCCTGGCTCTGCCGTTGGAGCTCAGCGTTGCGAGGCCTGGCTGCTGCGGGGCGGGGCTGTCGGCGTTGAGACGCGCCTATCACCGCGGGCCCCACGGTTCCTTACGTGGTTTAGGCTCAGTGAGGATGAAGGTGTGAGTTGTAGACACCGTTCCTCCAGCACCGGCCCTCGGGGTCCGGGTGGCTGCTTGGCGTCCTGTCTGTGCTTGGGGCAGGTTGTCATTTGAGGGAGTTTCCTCTTTTCATTCCAATTATGGATTTTGAGGCTTTGCTCATAGGTGCTCATACATCCATGCTATTATTCTTCCCCATTACCATCACTGGTTTCCTCTTTCCGTTTAAGTCCCCTTGCTCCTCTTGACTTAGTCCCCCTCTGCTTTTTCATGCCCTGTGTAACACCTTAGTATTTGATTCCTGGTTGGGTTTTGTCAGAGATAAAAAAGTTCTGGCCCTCTTTAGTTTTAGTTACTCCTTATTTTTGGAGATTTTAGTGCTGTTTCATTGTCATTTATCTGTTTTCAAGGTGGGGAGACAGAAGGAAAATGTAGGTTGATACTAGGGGAAATGAGTAAGTTGAGTGTCAAAAGGCAGAGGGAAGAGATGTGTGCGGCAATCAGGAGCTTTCATTCTGTGAGAAGACAAGGCTAACAAAAATCATATGTAACAGGTGGAAAGACTATCTCCCAATTGGACAGCGGATGTCCGGGACTCGTTTCATTGCTTTCAAAGTCCCTTTGCAAAAGGTAAGCAAGTTAATTGAATATTCTTTCAGAAATCTAAATTTACTATGAACAGTGCTGGTCTCAGCCCTATAAATCATTTTCCCCTTTGTAGCAAACACTTTGTAATGTTACTTTATTAACCTGAAATGAGATTCACTTGTCAATATAATCTACTTCTGTATTTAATTTTAAGCAAAACATATCAGTATAATGCCATAACTATAATATAAAGGAGTAAACTAAATTTATAGTAAACATAAAATGTGTTTCAATTTCTGAATATGTCAGCTTCAGGAAGCTAGACACTTTGTTGATAAGGTGATTGATTGCTATAGTAGAAATTCAGTGAAAACGCTCGAGAAACAAATACCTTTGTTTATTTGTGAAATGAGGTTAGGTTCCAAGTCTTAGGCAAATAGGAAGAGGGTTTGTTTTTTCTTACCTACAAATGTTGACTAGGACATTCTGAAATCATTCATGATTTAGGACACACCACAGAAATAATGTATAAAAAAGGGGACTTTCTTTTTTCCTTTCCATCCCTGAGAGAGACTGTAGTAGAACTTCCAGAAGAGTGGAAACTTCTTTTTGCATCTCTTTATATGTTGGCTTTATGGGGCTTGAATAAATGCATAGTATGGTGTAGAATTTTAAGCACACGTTTGCTTTCTTTTATTTCATTTTCTGACAGAAATTTGAAGTGAATCTTGCTCCAGAAGAATGTTTTTCTCCTTTGGATCTTTTTAATAAAATTCAAGAACAAAATGAAGAACTTGGATTGATAATTGATTTAACATATACTCAGCGCTATTATAAAGCAGAGGTAAGTGGACACCATAATTGAAAAGAATGTTCTTTGTTCTGATGCAAAATTATCTGTAGTAATTCAGTAGTTTTTATCCTTTGTTGATATAAAACTAACCTTCATTCATGGGTAGTATTTTTAAAAGAGAACCAAGTTGCTGTCTCAAAATGAGATTGGGGACCAGGCCAGGTGGTGAATGCTTATAGTCACAGACTTTCAGAGGCTAAGGGAAGGATTGAAAGTTCAAGGCCAGCCTGGACTACATTATACAGTTAGAATCTTTATTAAAAAAACAGCAACACAAAGTAGATTGGAGACATTCCTTAAACTATATTGTTTAGTCGCCGTTACCTGAGTCTCTTTCATCATCCTCAACAAAAGCTCTATTAAGCATTATTTCTCCCTTCTCCTCCATCCACAGTCTCTAGAAATCTTATAGTGGCTTTATCACCATAAATTTGCCAGTTCTAGGCATCTCATACAAATAGCATGATGTAATTTTTGTTCTTTTGTATTTGAATTATTTTACTAATGTCTCCAGTGTTCATTTGAAGCACATGCCAGAGTCGTTTTCCTTTTTCTGGTTGAATATTTAGTGGTGTGTATCTGCTGTGTTTCATTATTGTCCCTATGTGTTTTGCTTTGTTCTGTTTTTGTTTGTTTTGTTTTTAAGACAGGACCTCAGTGGGTAGCACTGGTTGGCCTGGAACTCCCTTTGTAGATCAGGCTAGCCTCAAATTCATAGAGATCCTCTTTTCTGTGCCTCCTGAGTTCTGGAATCAAAGGTGTGCACCACCATACCTAGCATGTTCTATATTATTTTAAAGGAACTCTCAGATACATAGTTTAATCTCTATATTTTTTGCATGTATATTTAAAATATAATACTTTCTCCTTAATATAAATTCTTTAATATCAAATAGTATACAAACTTGCTCTTATCTTTTAAATGCCATAAAAATTGTCACTTTGTAATTGATTGTCTTTCAACCTAATCTATAGATTTCTATTCATGTCTCTCTTACTTTGTTTTTGTCCCCACACTTGAATTTTATGTTTTGGGAAAATCCAGCCAGTTTAGTTTAATCATTGCATCTCCATGTGTTGTTAGCATAGTCCTTTTATTTTCTGCAAATTGGTAGCTGCACTAGCTCGATTTGATACTTCTTTGTCTCTTCTCTTGTCCCCCTCCTCTTTTTTCCTTCCCTTTCTCCTTTCCTTCCTTCTTCCCTCCTCTCTCCTATTCCTCTTCCTTTTCATTTTCTCCTTTTCTTTAGTTCCCTTTCTTACACGCCTCTGCCCTCCCTTCTTCCTTTCTTTATTTTCTTGCTTTGTTGGGATTTTGATATTTGAGAAAGAGTCTCAATATGCAGCCTTGGCTGGCCTAATACTTTTGATCTTCCTGCTCTAGCCTCCCAAATGCTGGAATTACAGATGCACAACACTATACCTGTCTTCTCTATTTTTGAGACCGTTCCTAATGTAGCCCAGGCTATCCTCATAATTGTTGTGTAGCCAAGAATGTTTTTACAGTTCAGATCCTCCTGCTTCTGCCTCCCAAGTGCTGTGATTACAAGCATGGTCCACCATGTTTAGCTTGATTTTCTTTTTTGCATGGTGGCAGTTTAGAGAGGAGGGGGGTGGGTCTTGCTATATTGCCCAGGCTGATCTTAGAACTCCTGTTCTCAAGTGGTCCTTGTACCTCAGCCTACTGAGGCACAGAGACTACAGGTGTGCCACCATGCTTGGCACAAGACAGTTTCATAGATGATGTGTCCTTCCATTAGAGACTTAGAAGTGGTTGTTATTCCTATAAGATTAGTGGTTATTGGTTATCAATTATTAATTCCTTTGTGACTTCAAAAGGTGATTTTTTTTTTTCTTTTTTCTTTTTGAGACAGGGTCTTGCTGTGTAGCCCAGGCTAGCTTCGAACTCAAGATTGTCCTGCCTTAGTCTCCCAGGTGCTGGGATTATAGGTGTATGCCACCACACCAGGCTACAAAAGGTGAATTTTGTTACTCATATTTCACTTAATAAAGAAGTTTCTGTTCACTTGTTTCCCAGGTATGCAGACTTGATTCTTCCCTTTTATGGAACAGTTTTCACAGTGTTCTGTTGGTCTCTAATATCCTGCAGTGGTGACTAGTTTTATTTTATTTTATTTAATTACTTTTTGTACCATTGTGAACTCCACTGCAGTTGTTTTTCTAAGTGGAGGCCTTTTCTTTGAAGAGTTGGGACTTCTCGAACTGATTCTAGGACCTCTTTTTAAGAAAAATTTGTTCTTTGAGAATTTTATACATGCATACAATAATATTTTAATCGTGTCCATTCTCAACACCCACCTCCAACTCTTCCCCGGGTGTCCTGCTCCCAATCTCACGTTCTTTTCTTTGTTTCTTCTTTTCCTTGTAGTTTTATAACCCACTTAGTCCAAAATTAGTGCTGTACAAATGTACGTGGTTGTGAAGCCATCCACTGGAGCATGGTCAATTACTTGGGGACATATGCCTGAAGAAAACTGACTCTCCTCCCCCCCGCAGCTGTTTCCTTTTAGTGGGATTAGGATTTAGACATAATCTGAGTATTCACTGCTACTGGACCAACAGTGTTCATAGGATTTTTCTGTGGACAGAGCTAGGAATGTGTCCTGGCTTCATGCTGGTGCTTTTCACTTAAACTCAGAGCTACTGGATTTCCACTTGCCCTCTTTTTATTTTTTATTTTTGTAAGATTTATACTATTTTCACTTATGTGTATGTGTGTGTCTGCCACATGTGTGCAGGTGCCCGCCAAGGCCAGAAGAGAGTGTCGGATCCCCTGGAGCTGGAGTTACAGGCGTTTGTGAGCCACCAGATGTGGGTGCTGGGAACCAAACTTGGGTCTTCTGGAAGATCAGCAAGCAATCTTACCCACCGAGCCAACTCTCCATCTCCAACCCATTACCTAACCTCTTCTGTCTCTTATCTCAGCCCATTAGTAGTTTGTGCTGCTTTGTGAAGGCACTGAAATGTGAAATAATTAGTAGAACCATTCACATAATTTTTAATCACACCATTTGTCCCCTAATTCACATAGAATTTGGTATACTTTGTGTACCTATTGATTGTCCTGTAGTTTTAATGAAAGTCAAATGATATTTCCTGGTTGAAACACCTTTATGAGAAGTGGCTCTTTTGTCAGAGTTACTGACATAGTAAGTTTATTATTGTCTGTTGGTTTATTTTCTGGCTCCTCAAATCTTTCACTGTTTCCCTATAAATGAGTAACATATATTTTCCTTGGTTCTGCTTTGTAGGATTTGCCAGAAACTATTTCTTACATAAAAATTTTTACAGTTGGGCATCAGGTACCCGATGATGACACTATTTTTAAATTCAAACGTGCAGTTAAAGAGTTTTTAAAGGAAAATAAAGATAATGGTGAGTTCTTCTGTTTTGTACCTTTCTTAGGTGATCTTTGATGTGCATTTTGAACAGTGTTGGAGACTTAATATTTTTAATATTCTGACATTAGCCCTGTTGTGATTGAAGGTATCAAGGTAAAAGGTCAGATAGTATTAATAAAGTGTCACCTTATTGGTCACAAAGAAACAATTTAACTTACTTTGGAAAGTGATCGTAGTGAGAAATACACACTGAACTAGTTAATTTGTCTCTTAAAAACTTGCATGGGGGATGCTAGAGAGATAGCTCAGTGGTTAAGAACACTGGTTGTTCTTGCAGAAGACCCAGGTTCAAATCCCAGCACTCACATGGCAGCTAACAACTGTCCGTAACTCTAGTTCCTGGGGATCTGACAGCCTCTTCTGTTCTCTGCGGGCATTGCATGACACGGGTGCACTTATCTACATGCAGGCAATAAATGCATACACATAAAATAAAAATAAATATGCCAGGCGTGGTGGTGCACACCTTTAATCCCAGCACTTGGGAGGCAGAAGCAGGCAGATCTTTGTGAGTTGAGGCCAGCTTGGTCTACATAGTGAGTTCCAGGACAGCTGGGGCTACAAGGAGACCCTGTCTCAAAAAAAGATGAAAATAAATAAATAAATAAATAAAATATTAAAAAAAAGCTTGCATGGGAAATGTATAATACAATAAAAGTGTTTCCTTTGTTCTTTGGTTAAGAGATGAGAGACAGATTAAAAATTCCAGCATCTGAGGTTTACGTAAGAGAGACAACGAAAGACAAAGGTTAGGAGTGAGGCACTTCCCTAGAAGAAATCAGCATGGGTAGGTCAGTAGAATTGCATCTTTATCACACATAGAGTATTTCTGCTGTTTCTCCTCTTTGAATATAGTTGGGCTTATTGGCTTATTATCAGAAGTAAAGACTGAGGCTTCATAGATGGCTCAGGTTAAGAGTGCTTCCTGCTCTTCCAGAGGACCTGAATTCAGTTCCTAGCACCCATGTCAGGCTGTTCACAACCTCCTATAACTTCAGCTCTAGGGAATCCAACATCCTCCTCTGGCCTTAGTGGGCACCCTCATACATAGCAAATATACTCACTCAAATATACATACCGTATACATAAACAAAAGTAAATCTTAATAAGTGGATGTGTTGGTGCAGGCCTTTAATTCCAGCACAAGGGAGGCAGAAGCAGGCAGATCTCTGTGAGTTCAAGGCCAACCTGGTCTACAAAGCAAGTTCCAGGCCAGCCAGGGCTACATAGTGAGACCTAGCTCAAAAAATGAAAGGCTGGGCTGAGATCTATAGCTTAATTGTAGAGCATTTGCCTGGCATGTATAAGGCTGTAGATTCAAACTTCCAACATTGCACACAAAAACGCATTCTAGTTTCATTCAAAACAAATTTAATTATTCTTAAGGCAAATTAAGGCTTGGGGTTTTTCAACACTATATTTTCTCTAATTAAATCAATCTCTGCTGTTAAGACAGATGGATTTGTCTCAGTGTCATTTTACCCTGAGCAGTCCTGCAGTTGACATCATTGAGTCTTTGCAAAATTCCTGGGGCAGAGACTAGGGAAATGGCTCAGTGCTTAAGAACACTGCCTGCTCTTCCAGATGACCTTGGTTCAGTTCCTAGCCCTCACATGGTGGCTAACAACTTTCCATATTCCAATTCCAGGGGACCCTATACCATCTTCTGGCCTCCATGGACATTGTATGACATAGGTATATTTACATACTGGTAAAACACTCATACACATAAAATAAATACATTTTTAAAAATTCCTGTGACAGTAATGTTTTTGGTAGGTGATTGTTTATAATAATATGTTTCTAAAAACTACTTTCCTTTTCAACATAGTGGCAATATTGTAGTAACTTGTAAACCTTATTCTTCAGAAAATTGAATAACTTGTTTTCTGGTGTATCTGTTTCAGTTGCTTAACTCTTCATTTCTTGTTTTATAGACAAACTTATTGGTGTCCACTGTACCCATGGTTTAAACAGGACTGGTTACCTCATCTGTAGGTGAGTTGCCAACCCCAGAAACAAATAGTGTTTAAGTGTGTTTGTGTGGTTATGATGATACTGTAAGCTTATAGCAAGACAGGTAATCAGTATAGAAATGGTGCAATACAGAGCAGTGTTGTCGCCAACCTGAAGATTACCATCAGCAATAAGTTAGTATATATCATTGTAGACTTCAGAAATGCAGACCTAAGCATATACATGTGGTTTACAGTACAGTAGGCATTCGGATTTGTAATATAATGTGTGGTAGACATCTTTCTGTGGAAGTACTTAGGCACCTTATTTTTTTTAAGGCTGTATTGTTCTTTTGCACACTGATGAACATTAAGATCAGAAGAAATTTGGGGTATTATAAAGCATTAATATAGTGTTCATTCCTGTATGAACATCTTTGAATACACATGCCACTGACTCAGAGGTAATCTCATACTAGATGGAGTTACTAAATCAGAGGATGCATTCTGATACTTTATGAATATTGCTGTATTGTACCTGTTCATGTTTGTCCATCCAGAAAATACTTACTGTACACACACCCAGTATGCTGGGTGCTAGCAAAGAGACTTAGCCTGCCTCTGAAATCAAGAAAGAGTAACACAAATGCCTATAGGATTATCACTGACAAGTGCTAAGAAGGAAAGGGACAAGATTCCATGAGAGCAAATAATGGGAAGATTGATCTCATCAAGGAGACGAGAGGTTTCCACGGGAAGGTTTGAGCAAAGGTCTGAACATTGAACTGGTGCAAAGCAGGTAGGGACACTGCAGAAAACTATGGACATAAGGAACATCCAAGACCCTAAAGCAGTACAACATGCACTAGGTTGGAGGAGGTGGGCCCTAAGGTAAGAATGGCATTAAAATCGAGCTGGAAGTGTAGGTAGGAAGCCAAAGCTAAATCATGTAGAGCCTTGTTTCAGCCTCTGTGTGTGCGTGTGTTTGTGTGTGTGTGTGTGTGTGTGTGTGTGTGTGTTAAGAAAGTGTGTGTGTGTGTGTTAAGAAAGTGTGTGTGTGTGTGTGTGTGTTAAGAAAGGTAGGCAGCTTTTTGTTGGATATATCAAACGTTGAATTTTGAACCTATCATTCTGAGTGAAGAATGCTCTAGAGAGGTAGAAACAAGGGTTGAAATTCCACTTTTGTAGGCATTGAAGTGTAATGGTAACTTGGACCTCGATGTGGAGGTCATTTTGGTGAAAAGATGTCACTTTCTCAAGACAATGGAGGTGGTATCATTGTCAGGACCTGGCAGTAGGCTGAAGATGAAAGTGAGGAAGAAGTGGATGATGGTGATGGTGGCTCTTGTTTCTGGCCCATACTGTTAGTTACTCAGGATCCTTGGAGATGTTGCTGTTTGTTCCAGTTGCTCTGCTTGTTTTGGGTTCCTCATGAATACTCTGACTACTAAGGAATCTCTGTTTTTATTTTTAATTTTAATTTTTATTTTTTTGGTCTTTTTGAGACAGGGTCTCCCTATAGCCCCAGCTGTCCTGGAACTCACTATGTAGACCAGGCTGGCCTTGAACTCTCAGAGATCCGCCTGCCTCTGCTGGGCATTAAAGACTGTGCCACCACGCCCGACAGAATCTCTGTTTTTAGTGTACAAAGCATTTTGATTAAAAAATGAGTACTGAATTTTTCCAGATACCTTTTGGTCATACATTTTCTTTCTTTATTAGCTACATTGTTATATTAATATAAGTACTTATATCCATAGATTTTAGGTTGGGTCAGTCTTGGAATAGTCTTTTGTGGTCATGGCATGCCATTCTGTAATTGTTGGATTAGATGTATTCCTTAGGATATATGTTTCCATTTATAAGTGAAATTGGACCTGTTTTGTTGAAGTTTTTTTTTTTCCTTTTTGTATATATAAGTGACCCAAATTATGTTGTTTTGTTAGATATTTGATTGATGTAGAAGGCATGAGGCCAGATGATGCAATTGAATGTAAGTATGAGGGGTGTCACTGTTTTTCCCTTTCTGTAAAAGCTAAAGGTAGAATTGTAGAGCAATTTCTCAGTTTTTGGAAAAAACTTTAATTGATATGACCCAATATAAGATGCCAAAAAGAAAATGAGATGAGAGAGAGAATAAGAAAGCAAGCAAGCTGCCTCATGGCTGGGGATGTAGGTCAGTGGCAGAGCACCTGCTTAGCATGTGTGCAGCCCTGAGTGCAATCTCCCATATGAAAAGAAAGAAAAAAATAGTGGTAATAGAAGGTAATCTTTTGCCAGAAGTTTATGAAGGAACATATCTGCAAGTGGTGAGCTATAAACAGCCTAAGTAATAACTGAATATGAGCCTTGATTTGCCTTCTCTGGAAAGACTTCTTTTCATTACTTCTAACAATTCATTCACTCCTCAGTATTCAATAGGTGCCGGGGGCACTGCATAGAAAGACAAAACTACATTGAAAACCTTCAGAAAGGTCGTGGCAGAAAGTAAGTCTTCCTTTTTGTATGTGGGGAATCTATCGTTAGGGAGATCTCTTATGTAATTCAAGTAGCAAATCTCCTAGCAACTTGCTCACTGGCTGGATGAAACCTAAAACAAATGGGAATGGGGGAGATGGGATTGCATTTTTGTAAACAGTGACTAAATTGGTCTCTAAAATTGGAAACTGGTAACTGACCCAACTATTCTCTTCTAGGAACCGGAACTCTAGCACATCTAGGTCAGGTGTTTTTGAAGACTCAGCACATCTCATGGAACAAGTACCGACCACTAACAAGCCTGTGAACCAAGGACCTAGGAACAACCGGCCTGGTGGTCATCTACCACCTTCTCGGCATTTTCACACCCAGACCCAAAACTCACAGCAGTCATTCAGGTACCTCTGCTTCCCCATTTTATAGAACTGAAATGGAAACTATACTGTAAACTAGTGAAAAATAAAATATGATAATGATGAGTAGTTGATGTTTTCTTCCAGGTCATCCTTCTCTGGGTTTTGGAAAGTTAAATACTGGATAGGGAATGTAAGACTTTTCAGAGGCGATTGGGAAAAGGACTTAGAAATTTTCATTGTTTTTAAATTTGTTTTAATCCAGAAGTTTGAGGTGGCTACCAGAAAATCTTTATTTATTTTATTTTTTTCCTTTTTTTGTGCTTGGGATCAAACTACTGAGGTATATCCCTAGGCTTTAAGAATCTTGCATTCTGGGGCTGGAGAGATGGCTCAGTGGTTAAGAACACTGGCTGTTCTTGCAGAAGACCCAGCTTCGAATCCCAGCACACAACAGCTAACAACTGTTCGTAACTCCAGTTCCAGGGGATCCAACAACCTCTTCTATCCTCTGAGGGCATTGCATGACACAGGTGTACTTACCTACATGCAGGCAATACATGTATACACATAAAATAAAATAATAAATAATAAATAAAATACTAAAAAAAATAATCCTGCATTCTTAGGCTACATAGTTTTCAGA